CCTCACCAGCACTTGAACCGCCAATTAGTCTAATGCATAAAACCACTATTCTGAAAAAACACATCATAATAAACATCAAAATACTAATCATATCTCGAGGGATCATATATATACTACAAGTTCCTTGGATTCATCTCAGCCTTCCATGACTCGGGTACGAATCATCTGCTTTTGGTAGTACGGGCCCATACTACCTTTCACATCTATGCGTACTTTCCTCAAGAACAGCCATGACTTCATCAAGTCCTTTCAACTACTAATGCTTCATGCACTACTCTCATCCTAGGCTTCCCTAGGGCAATCAACATCCTACTCTCCGCCATCAGCTGCATAAGAAGTCCTTATTTTCTCCCTTAACTAGCTCACGAATACCATTACATATCATTAATACTAGATAATTCTTCGAATAAGAGATCTTACCCTCAACCGGTTGGACTCAAACAAGATCTGTGAAATAGAACTAGACCTAACCTTCTGAAATTATCTATTCCTCGGAATATGTAGCTTAACATATTCGTTTACTATATAGTAAAATACAACTAGAACTCCTAAAAGCACAAAGCAAGCAGCATTCGAGCATTGAGTAAACATCATCAAGCATATACTAATCAAGTCATCATACTGACTAATCTGTTCTAGCATGCAGTTCATAAAGCCGATACACATACAACAAGCACATAAGACATCCTTCTTAGATTCTTATACCTAATATAGCATGCAGTTCTCATAAACATATCATAACATAAACTTGTATGGGTAATTTGGGAGTACTTACTTGATCTCGGCTGATTGCATGTACCACACCCTTTTCTCCTTTTCAAAGTTCTTTTTGCTTTTTCTAAAATTCTTTTCTTTTTCTCAAAGTCATTTTTATAAAAAGGTTTTCCTTTTGAAAATATCTATACTAATCCCTTTGTTCGAGTTTAGTCACACCCGAGAGTGTGACTGAATCCCTCAAACCAAGGCTCTAATACCAACTTGTAACATCCCAAAAATATGGTCCAAAAAATTCATTTTTAATCATTTCGGGAAAACCATATTTCATCAAATGTCATAATAACAAAACCATAAATATCAAAACATCATAAATCATGTATCTCAAAATCTCATATCATCTATCGATGTATAAAAATCGTATGTCAAAATATCAGAGTGTGTCATACACTCATCCCAAGCGCTTCCCCTTACTAGCGGAAGTACCTAAAACAAAAACTAAAAATTGTATGCACGAAGCTTAGTGAGGCTCCCCAAACTACCACATACCATACACATAACATGTAACTAGGAGATACGATCCCGACCCATTCTCATGGAGATTCGGGCCCCGCCCACACTCTGCTATCTAGGAGATTCGGTCGCCGCCCACACTCTGCTGTCTAGGAGTTCGGGCCCTGCCCACACTCTATTGTCTAGGAGATTCGAGCCTTCCCACACTCCTCTACTAACATGTATACAAGCATCACATAGGAAAAAAGCATATCTATTCATGTCAAATAGTCACATAACTATACTAAAATAATACTACGAGATTCGGTACCTGCCCACACTCGGCTGCTATGAGATTCGGGCTCCGCCCACACTCGACTACTAAAATATCACATATATTGGCCGACCGTGGTGCCTTAGAACTGTTCCTACTGAAGGAAACTCACCTCTCAAATTGGGTGTTGAACTCCCTGTTGAGGAATCTCTACTGGCTGCTTGCACGACTCCCCAACTATAACTCCACAGTGAATAGTGATTCAAACTAAAAATCCCTCTAAGGGTAAAATGACCATTTTACCCCTATCCATAGTCAATGCTCTAGTCAAAGTCTAAGTCAAGGTCAACTTCCAGTTTAACCCAAATCTTCGAGTTACCTCCTAACTCGTCGAGTTCCTATGCTATTCAGACTCATGATAAACCGAGTCAACTCTTCGAGTCCCTTCATGAACTCATCGGGTTCTACCTGTTATGGGATCGGGATAGATCGTCTCAACTCGTCAAGTCTCCCTCTGGACTAGCCGAGTTCTCTTGTCTGTTTAGGCTATCTTGATGGATTAATCTCATACACCTCAGATCCAAGCTTCATACTTCTCATAAACCTCGAAAATGACCTTTTAAGGGTAAAGTTTCCAACTTTACCCATTACTACCTCTTCTTAATGCGATTAGCTCCAACCCTAACTCCTTGGGACCTAGAACTTGGTCCATAAGCCATCCTTACATCAAACTACAAATTACAATCACAGATCTAAATCCCTAACACTAAAATTGTACACGTAAAGCTCCCACCTTTCTCTTCGTGCATAAACTTTTTTCGGCTAAAAAGGAAAAAACAGCATTCTATGGTTTGCATGTGGCTCTTATGGCATAAAGTTAGCACCTTTATGTCTTAACAACCCTTAATGATCCCAGATCTGAAAGGACCCTTGCTTGGGACATCCAAACCCCAATGGTCAAGTTCTTTGAACTAAAACCCTCAAAGGTGGAAAATAAATGGATCTAAAGAATAAATGATAAAGTTATAGATTTGATTACAAGAAAATGAAGGGAATGAAATGTTGCTTCTGGATCTACAATCTTCTATTGGATCCCTCAAGCTTCTTCTTCCTCTTCATGCATCAATACATTTAAACACTAAACAATGGCTCACACACTCACACAATGCTCTATGGTTTCATGGATTAGGGTTTGGGAATTGGAGGCTGGAGATGAGGCCATAAGGTGGGGATTAAGTTGCTTACATAAGGTGAAAAACCCCGAAATAAAGGGTTTCATCCTGACAAGCCTACTCGTTGAATTGAGGGCTCTTAACTCGTTGACCAGATGGCTTTAAACCTACGTTTAATCCCACTTCTACTCGACGAGTCTAGGGCTCCAAACTCATCGAGTAGCACTACAAAATAAACAAAATACAATTTAAATATGTACCAGGAACTAGGCGTTACGATTGATCTACCATTATGCGATTTCCTCTCCGAATCTGATGTCTCCCATATCCTTTGCCAAAATCTTCAACCATCTTGAACCTCATCTAATAATCAGACTTATCCAACTCTTCCCATAACTCAACCTGTTGTCCCTGCTCCTTCTCCACCTCCTTCCTCAACCCACATGACCCTTATCCCTCCTTTTCATTCTCAACTAATGAACACCCTCTTTAAAAGTGGCATTTTCAAACCCTCCCAATGCATTGATCTTCACAAAACATCCATATCCTCTATCCCGAGGTCTCATCTATAGGCTTTGAACAATCCAAACTAGCAAAAAGTGAATGAGGAATATAATGCACTTATGACAAACAACACTTTGTTGTTTCTATCCAGACCATTGATGGCTAATGTTGTTCAATCTATTTCGTTATTCAAACAAAAAGTTTAACGTTGATGGATCTCTCTCCCGCTACAAAGCAATGTGAGTTGTTAACGCACTACTAGAAAAAATGGAATTAGCGATGACAAAGGTCACCGTTAAATACTAGAAAAGTCTTCGGAAAAGGTAGTAGCGGCGACACGTTGCCGATAAAAAGTTGTCGTTATTACTTTGTCGCTATTGCTCAAAATATCGTCGGTAAAGATATATGTCGCCACCAATGCTTCTATCGCCGATAATAACATTTTTTATTATTTTAATTGTTTTAAATCAATGTTTTTAGTACAAAAATAAACAACCAAAAGTCATACATAGACTTTGATGAAACTTTAGTCTCATGTCACTACTAGAAAACTAGGGCAATAGCTACAACAAAATCTGTAGGTATTCAGTAGGTATAAGGCGATACCTACGGATTTGCTACGGAATATGCCTTGTAGCATAAATTTGTGTGGGAAATTTATACCTACAGATTTGCTACAGACTAGCTAAGGGATAGCTACGACCAATTCCGTAGGTATAATAGCTATAGATTAGCTATGGACACGAATTGCTAAGGAATACATACGGATTGCCGATGGAACTGTTTTCCTATGGAATAGCTACGAAATCACATGGCTACGGATTTCCTATTGATTAGCTACGAGAGTCGAGTTTAACCAAAATTGACTTTTTTGGCTACAGAATAGCTACAAAACTATCTACCTACCGATTTCTTACGAATTAACAATATATTTCAAGTTTGACTAAATTTGACTTTCTTCCTACGGAATACCTACAAACCTATTTAGCGACGGATTTCCATACCTAGACCGTAGCAAATTTCATTTTATTAAAAAATAAAATTTTAAAATTTTCCAATTTTTTTTATCAAATACCAAATATCGATTTAATTTGTCCAAAATAGAATACAAAATACACTAAAAAGTGTCCCTAATATCAAATTTGACATATTGCATTCCATTGTCTCAAAATACCATTCAAATGTCTCAAATACCGTACAAATTAAGCATAACAAAACAAGCGAACAATACTTAAACAATAATAGCAATGTACTTTAGTTTATTATAACAATTCATTTTAGTTTATATTTATAGCAATACACTTAAATTTTAAATCATAATCGCAATGTACGTTTCTTTATTATTAATAATATTATCAGCAAACTACCTAACTTTTAACCATAATAGTAACGTATATGTATTTCTTATCAACTTAATCAATATTATCAACAACTACATAACTTTTAACCATAATAGCAACATACTTTTGTTTCTTATCAATTTAATCAATATTATCAACAAACTACATAACTTTTAATCATAATAGCAACATACTTTTGTTTATTATCAATTTAATCAATATTATTAGCAAACTGCCTAACTTTTAACCAATATAGCAACATACTTTTGTTTATTATAAATTTAATCAATATTATCACCAAACTACATAACTTTTAACCATAATAGCAACATACTTTTGTTTATTATCAATTTAATCAATCTTATCACCAAACTACGTAACTTTTAACCATAATAGCAACATAATTTTGTTTATTTTTAATTTAACCAATATTATCAACAAACTACCTAACTTTTAACCATTATAGAAACGTACTTTTGTTTATTATCAATTTAATGAATATTATCAAGATACCTCTTGTTGCGTGCTGTCTGAGTGGGTGGACTGGGCGGAATGGGAAGATGATGTCCCTAAAACCAACAAATGTATATCTGATGCTCCTATCCTATAGGTAGCACCCTTCTTCTTTCCTTTTCTTCTAGGTTGACTTTCGTCCCATACATTTAAAACATCCTTATGGTTTGCAGGATCTTCTCTATATTTGTTGACCAACCGCTGCAGATACGTCTCCTACAAATTACCAAAACAAAACAATTGTCATATACAAAAAATGAGACAATCAATATACATAAATGATAAAGATAAGTTACTTGTGCTTCTTTGGCCGTCTGTGACCAATATTCGAGATTTTCATGATTTCCCTCAAAATATGTTTTCTTCGATCAGGAGTGCCATGTGTCTTCATCAAAACATCATAATGTGTGGGTGGTTTACCCATAAATTTTTCCTACATAAAAGTTAAAGTATAATTAATGTAGTTAGTGTTATAACAAAATAAGAGTAATAAAATTTATAATTGTGATACTTACTAAGTTTCTACGGTGCTGGTCAAATCCTATACTACCCATAGTGTGTCTTGTTGTTGACCCATTAGAATCTGCTGTGTTGCGGTTCTACTAAGCGATTTTTGAATTGTTTTGCCACTTTTCGTTGGACCAATGCTTTTAAAAAGAAAAAACATATAAGTATAATAATTTAATAAGAAATCAAAAAGTGAACAAAAAAATAATAATGTATCGTATCAGTTACATCACACAAACGTTGCCACACAGTTTTCGGTACGCGCTCGGGGCGGTAGTTATGCATCCCACCATAGTAGCTACAAATCTTTTAGGGGAGGGGTTTCCCATCTTTCCGTGCCATGTTGGCAGATTTCGCCCTGATACCTTTCATCTTATCTATGTATCTATCCTTGAGTACATACTTGAATGCGTCAAATATGTTCTCATTATATTGTGAATGCCACCTATACATGGTTTGTAAAGAATAAAAAGTAAATTTAAAAATACAAACTAAAAACAAATGAGTATAAGTTACAATAATAAGTATTTAATATATTACCCCGAAACACAAAAACATCTATGTAAGAGCCTTATTTGGAATATCACTGAACTGGGCCCACAGACGATCCAAATTCTCCCAAAAGAGACGAACACATTTATTGTGGTTTTTTTGATCTCCAAACCTACAATATTAAAAAACTATACAAGTATAATTATAACATAAAAAAATTAAGTTTTAAATGATGAAAACACTAACTTTTCCCCATCTCGGCTGATGAGGGGCAGACAAGGCGTGAAAATCACTCGCATTCGAGTCGTGACCTCCTGCAATACCTCAAGAGGTGGATCCATGCGACGTCAATGGTGTGTTCGGTGCCATAGGTGTGTGTGGAGTATGTGGTAACCAAAAGGTTGCCTCTACATCTGCACCCTCAAAACAATAATCATCAAATACATCATTACCACTTGTCCTCAAAAATGTTTTTGGGGACTGGGAACTATAATCTATCTGTGGGAGCTGAGGCCTATAATCCGTCTGTGGCAGCTGAGGCCTATAATCCGTATGTGGGAGTTGGGTCATATAAGTTGTCTCTTGAGCTGGACGACAAAGAATCCGGCCAAGTCTGGTAGAGGATCATCCATGTAGATTTTTTGACTAATAGGACCCTGAATGTTGGAGCCTACGACTCCTGTCACTATCAGCATATCGATCGGTATGATAAATATCCTATAACGTGGCTCGTCGATAGAATTAGGAGATCCCAACCCCATTCCTCGTACTACGAGAAAAAGAGTTATTGATGCGGTCTTTATCCTTGCGTCCATTACCTGACATGCTACATTTAATAGAACAAGCATGGTCAGATATATAAATATAAGATTAATAAGTCATGAAAAAAAATGTTTAAATGAACAAGATGAACAAGATGTCCCAATGGTCAAGTTCTTTGAACCAAAACCCTCAAAGGTGGAACACACATAGATCTAAAGAATAAATGATAAATTTATAGACTTGATTACCAGAAAATGAAGGGAATGAAACGTTCCTTCTGGATCTACAATCTTCTCTTGGATCCCTCAAGCTTCTTCTTCCTCTTCATGCATCAATACATTTAAACACTAAAAAATGGCTGACACACTCACACAATGCTCTATGGTTTCGTGGATTAGGGTTTGGGAATTGGAGGTTGGAGATGAGGCCATAAGGTGGGGATTAAGTTGCTTACATAAGGTGCAAAACCCCGAAATAAAGGGTTTCATCCTGGCAGGCCTACTCGCTGAGTTGAGGGCTCTCAACTCGTTGAGCAGATGGATTTAAACCCGCGTCCAATCCCACTTCTACTCGACGAGTCTGGGGCTCCCAACTTATCGAGTAGCACTACAAAATAAACAAAATACAATTTAAATATGTACCATGAACTAGGCGTTATAATTGATCTACCATTATGTGATTTCCCCTCCGAATCCGATGTCTCCCCTATCCTTTGCCAAAATCTTCAACCATCTTGAACCTCATCTAATAATTAAACTTATCCAACTCCTCCCATAACTCAACCTGTTGTCCCTGCTCCTTCTCCACCTCCTTCCTCAGCCCACACGACCCTTATCCCTCCTTTTCATTCTCACCTAATGAACACCCTCTTTAAAAGTGGCATTTTCAAACCCTCCTAATGCATTAATCTTCACAAAACATCCATATCGTCTATCCCGAGGTCTCATCTACAGGCTTTGAACAATCCAAACTAGCAAAAAGTGAATGAGGAATATAATGCACTTATGACAAACAACACTTTGTTGTTTGTATCCAAACCATCGATGGCTAATGTTGTTCAATCTATTTCGTTATTCAAACAAAAAGTTTAACGTTGATGGATCTCTCTCCCGATACAAAGCAATGTGAGTTGTTAACGCACTATAAGAAAAAATGGAAATAGCGACGACAAAGGTGTATCAAACCGTTATTTCAAACCTATGTAATAGTGTTGATCAATTTGTATTTCTTTTGAAATTAATAAAGAGAAATTTTGGCATATTGTGTATATTTACATAACTAACCTTCAAAAATTAAATTATTAAATAATCTCAATTGGGATGAACCAACTCACAGAGATTTTAATAAGGATTCCAAAAATATAAAGAACTCCCAAAACCGAGTTATAACAAAGAAGTTATAACCAATTGAAAATCCACGACAAGTCCGGTAAACACTAATTCGTGTAAAAAGTGAGCTTTTGATAAACTACTTTTTAGCCTTAATAACCTAAATGAAAGTTGTAGAACTCGTAAAGTGTAATGAGCTTTCATATATTGAACATTTGAATCTGACTTTGCACGAATAAGTGATGATTTTTCTAAAGTTTGAATTAGCGGTAGACATCTAAAATCTCGAAATAAAGATCGAGCGAGATTTAACCGAAACAACTTAAACGATAATCGAAGGTCTCGTTAATACTAGTTCATTGGTAAAAAGTCTAACGAAAACGGACAGTAAATAAAGAAGTTATGAATTTTTAACGGATTTTCCTGCCCCGTTCTGTTAAAAATAATAATAAAAAAATAAATTCAAAATTTGCCGACGAGTTCTAAACAAAAGTTGTAGTTTATTTTACCGCTTATGCGTGCATATAAAGAATGTCAAAAATGGAGCTCGTATGCGAAAGTTATGATTTTCGGAATATTTTTGAATTAAAAATAAAAGAAAAATTCGGATAATCACGCATGAACAGTAACCGAAATCGTGGCTGCTTCTGATTGGTCCAATTGTGAGGTCCAGTCAACGTCAGACGCGCTTGGCATCCTAGCCAGCATCTAAGATGTCTCGTAAGACGCATTATCCGACGCATGTCCAACCATCCTTCGCATGCCCTACTTCGTGTCACTCCTTGATTCGACCGAAGTTCGATCCAGTTGTTGTCCAACCTGCATGGCGTCCTGCGAGGCGTCTAAGACATCCCCTAAGACGCCATCCGAAGGTTTCAGCCCCTATAAAACCATGTAATCCCTCTCGGATTTGAGGCTAATTTGCACCATTTTTTTTACCTCCTTTCACCTCTCTCACTCCACCAACTTAACAACAACCCCCAAGGCCCCCGAAGCATACCTCAGACCCCGAGCAAGCCCCGAAGCCCCGATATTCCTGAGAATATCCATCTTTTCTAGTCGGAACTCTGCCTGATTTAAGCCGGTTTTCTCGTCAAACAAGCTTCTTTTTAGGAAACGAAACGCTTATCAAACGAGTTTATATCCCTATGTTTTCACTATTTTATAATGTTTTAGGGGAGAAAAACAAGTAAAACACAAGGAATTTTTGTGTAAATAATAAAATTCATTCTTTTGTTTTATTATTATTGTAAATAAAGTATTATACTGATTTTGGAACAATTTGTTACAATAAACATATCAATTATAATAGGTATAATTTATGATTCATATAAACTACTTAATATACTTTATGGAAATACACATATTTACTACATAATCAGAGTTTCTGATGAAATCAGATATATAAATTATATTAAATATAATTTATGATATAGTTATGATATAACTATTACAAGGATACCTTTCAATATTTTACATAAATTTATCAATAAGGTATTTGTGAGACACACTTCAAGTACTTATTCAAGTATAAAACAAAAGCCCTGAAAGTTATAACCAGAGTCTCCTTGAGATAGAACGTGACACTTGTATATAGATCTATATGGGATTGACAATCCCACATCTCGACTGTTAGCTACAGTCAATCCGACAGGATTGGGATGACAAATTTCGTACCGTATTACAACGCCTGAAGAACGTTGTGTTTCAAGCGAGGCTTACATCATATGGTATGGTTATGACAACTCACAAGTTTGTAATTGATAAATAAGTTTGGTGTAAGAATAAGTAACAACTTCATATAGTTTTAATATATTAAAACTATAATACTATTTCACAAGTTTTATTACAAGTATAGGTATAGAATACTATACAATTTCTAAGTTAACTTATTTTTTAAAGTCTTATGGGAGGTCAAGACTATGCTACTTCTGAAAACAAATGTAGATGCAACAGAAAATATAGGATTTTCTGGAAGAACAAATACATATTTCATAGAACAAACAACAAGTTATTTATATAACATACTTATGAACTCACCAACTTAATTGTTGACACTCCTTTCAAAACTACTTGTATTTTCAGGAAAGCAGTAAACAAGTACCAACATGTTATGAGGAAGACCAAGTTTCTTTATATTTATGTTTGTAAATTATACTTTTGAAACACAGTTGTAAAACTTAAAATCTTATGTAATAAATCGTGTACTTTGGTTTCTATTATGCATTGTTGTGATACTACAAATGAAGTCCTTCGCCCCTGTATGTTTCCGCCGTTCAGTTTTAGGGGTGTGACAAAAGGTCACCGTTAAAGACTAGAAAAGTCGTCGGCAAAGGTAATAGCGGCGACAGTTCGCCTGTAAAAACTTGTTGTTATTGCTTTGTCGCTATTGCTCACAATATCGCCGCTAAAGATATTTGTCGCCACCAATGCTTCTATCGCCGGTGGTTTCTATTATGCATTGTTGTGATACTACAAATGAAGTCCTCCGCCCCTGAATGTTTCCGCCGTTCAGTTTTGGGGGTGTGACAAAAGGTCACCGTTAAAGACTAGGAAAGTCATCGGCAAAGGTAATAGCGGCGACAGTTCTCCTGTAAAAACTTGTTGTTATTGCTTTGTCGCTATTGCTTACAATATCGCCACTAAAGATATTTGTCGCCACCAATGCTTATATCGCCGGTAATACCAGTGTTGCCGCTAATACTCCTGTCACCGATAATTCTTTCGTCGCCGGTAATAACATTTCTTATTATTTTATTATTTTTTTTAAATCAATGTTTTTGGTACAAAAAAACTGATAAATAACTACATTAAACACAATAAAAAAATTGCATAATATCAGATTAGGTACCAAATTATGTAACGACATCATATATAATTAATTTCAAACCAAAATAAACAACCAAAAGTTAGACATAGACTATGATGAGAAATTTAGTCTCATGTCACTACTAGAAAACTAGGGTAATAGATACGACACAATCTGTAGGTATTCAGTAGGTATAAGGCGATACCTACGGATTTGCTACGGAAAATGCCCTGTAGCATAAATTTCTGTGGGAAATTTACACCTACAGATTTGTTACGGACTAACTACGGAATAGCTACGACCAATTCCGTAGGTATAATAGTTATAGATTAGCTACGGACACGAATTGCTACTGAATACATACGGATTGCCGACGGAACTGTTTTCCTATGGAATAGCTACGGAATCACATGGCTACAGATTTCCTACGGATTAGCTACGCGAGTCGAGTTTGACTGAAATTGACTTTTTCCCTACGGAATAGCTACAAAACTATCTACCTACGGATTTCTTACGAATTAACGATATATTTCAAGTTTGACTAAATTTGACTTTCTTCGTACAGAATACCTACAAACCTATTTAGCGACGGATTTCCGTACCTAGTCCGTAGCAAATTTCATTTTATTAAAAAATAAAATTTTAAAATTTTCCATTTTTTTTATCAAATACCATATATCAATTTAATTTGTCCAAAATAGAATACAAAATACACCAAAAAGTGTCCCTAATATCAAATTTGACATATTGCATTCCATTGTCTCAAAATACCATTCAAATGTCTCAAATACCATACAAATTAAGCACAACAAAACAAGCGAACAATACAGCTGTTTACAAATTCAATTGTTCCAAAATACATATCAATTTTCCTAGGGTGGATTATTGGGGGGGGGGGGGGACAATGGGGATGATTTCCAGACATATTTATCATCCTTATAACCATTTCCATTTGTTCTTTCATTCGTTGTTGTTGTTCCATGATACAAAACTTGTGCACGCAACCTATGAACCTAAAAAAATGGTAACACAATTCAATACTTAAACAATAATAGCAATGTACTTTAGTTTATTATAACAATTCATTTTAGTTTATATTTATAGCAATACACTTAAATTTTAAATCATAATCGCAATGTACTTTTCTTTATTATCAATAATATTATCAACAAACTACCTAACTTTTAACCATAATAGCAACGTATATTTATTTCTTATCAACTTAATCAATATTATCAACAAACTACATAACTTTTAACCATAATAGAAACATACTTTTGTTTCTTATCAATTTAATCAATATTGTCAACAAACTACATAACTTTTAATCATAATAGCAACATACTTTTGTTTATTATCAATTTATTCAATATTATTAGCAAACTGCCTAACTTTTAACCAATATAGCAACATACTTTTGTTTATTATAAATTTAATCAATATTATCACCAAACTACATAACTTTTAAACATAATAGCAACATACTTTTGTTTATTATCAATTGAATCAATCTTATCACCAAACTACACAACTTTTAACCATAATAGCAACATAATTTTGTTTATTTTCAATTTAACCAATATTATCAACAAACTACCTAACTTTTAACCATTATAGAAACATACTTTTGTTTATTATCAATGTAATCAAGATTATCAAGATACCTCTTGTTGCGTGCTGTCTGAGTGGGTGGACTAGGCGGATTGGGAAGATGGAGTCCGTAAAACCAAAAAATGTATATCTGATGCTCCTACCCTATAGGTAGCACCCTTCTTCTTTCCTTTTCTTCTAGGTTGACTTTCGTCCCATACATCTACATCATCCTTATGGTTTGCAGGATCTTCACCGTATTTGTTGACCAACCCCTGCAGATATGTCTCCTACAAATTACCAAAACAACACGATTTACATATACAAAAAATGAGACAATCAATATACATAAATGATAAAGATAAGTTACATGTGCTTCTTTGGCCGTCTGTGAGCAATATTCGAGATTTTCATGATTTCCCTCAAAATATATTTTCTTCGATTCAGGAGTGCCATGTGTCTTCATCAAAACATCATAATGTGTGGGTGGTTTACCCATAAATTTTTCCTACATAAAAGTCAAAGTATAATTAATGTAGTTAGTGTTATAAAAAAATAAGAATAATAAAATTTATAATTGTGATACTTACTAAGTTCCTACAGTGCTGGTCAAATCCTATACAACCCATAGTGTGTGTTGTTGTTGACCCATTAGAATCTGCTGTGTTGCTATTCTACTAAGAGATTTTTGAATTCTTTTGCCACTTTTCGGTGGACCAATGCTTTGAAAATGAAATAACATATAAGTATAATAATTTAATAAGAAATCAAAAACTGAAAAATAATAATAATAATAATAATGTATCGTATTAGTTACATCACACAAACATTGCCACACAGTCTCCGGTACGTGTTCAGGGCGGTAGTTATGCATCCCATCATATTAGCTACAAAACTTTTGGGGGAGGGGTTTCCGATCTTTTCGTGCCATGTTGGCAGATTGTCCCTTGATACCTTTCGTCCTATCTTTGTATCTATCTTTGAGTACACACTTGAATGCATCAAATATGTTCTCATTATCTTGTGAATGCCACCTATACATGGTCTATAAAAAATAAAAAGTAAATTTAAAAATACAAACTAAAAACAAATGAGTATAAGTTACAATAATAAGTATTTAATATATTACCCAGAAACGTGAAAACATTTGTGTAAGAGCCTCATTTGGAATATCACTGAACTGGGCCCACGGACTATCCAAATTCTCCCAAAAGAGACGAACACATATATTGTGGATTTTTTTGATCGCCAAACCTACAATATTAAAAAAACTATACAAGTATAATTATAACATAAAAAAATTAAGTTTTAAATGATGAAAACACTAACTTTTAGTGACAACCTGAAGTTCGTTCCGTCATCGTAACCCGTTCCGTCATTAAAAAATTCGTCGTTTTGAATTGTTTCTGTTTCGTTTCTAAATTAAGTCATTAATTTTGAGTTTGCCATTATGACTTAATTGGTATCCAAACACGTTAGAAACTCATGAAAACGCTCCAATCTAGTAATTAGAAAAATTTTAGTTTCAATCATATCGGGCTACGACAACTTAATCGGGCAGAATTCCACCGTGTCTCAAACTTTAAGCATATATAAAGTTGAATATTAGTATCAGGTAGAATTCCACCGTGTCTCAAACTTTAAGCATATATAAAGTTGAGAGACCCTCATTTGAAGCCTTTTCCACTCTCTCTCTACTCTCTCTCCTCCAATCCAAGCTCTAGGTCCAAAATCATCAAATTCAAGCTCCAAATCTTCAAGGTATCAATCCTAGCTCCTAGTATAACATCTTTAGCTATTAGGGTTAGGTCTTGAACACATGAAAATGGAGTTTTTGAGCCTTAAAACCCTTCCAAACCACCTTTGGAGCTTAGATATGACTTAGGGGCTTACCAAACTGGACTTAGAACACCTTGAACTCATCATTTAGGGTATACACATGAGTTTACAGACCAAGCACATGTTTGGACCGTAAACACCATTTCTTGGGTAGTAAACTCATTTTAAGGTGTTAAGATGCCACTTAAACACCTCATAAGCCTTGGAATAAAGTCTAGAAGCAACCACAAACGAGTTAGAGGCCTTAAACTTGATGAAAACCATCCCCATAGGAGCTTACGGCCGTAAACCCCCCAAGGATAGGTTAATGGGCCGTAAACTCCTATATCTTAGTCAAATGATGCCCTAAGTTCATCCCAAGGCTTGTATAATGACTTAGAATCACTTGTAAATGACCTTGGACCACCAAAACATCAAAGGAAGGTGTGTGGGGGAGCTTACAGCTGTAAACTCTTAGTTTACTGCCGTAAACTCCATTAGATGCTCCATATGTTGGTTTAATTCATTCCTATACCCTAGACCTGATCCTAGCTAATTTTCCCAAGTAATATAAGACCATTTAGCACCCTAGAACACCCCAACATGAGTTTACGGCCATAAAATCATGGGGAGTGGGTCATTAGGGCCGTAAAATCTCTTGGGAATTTACTCTTGAAGAGTAAACTCCATATCCAAGTCATATATGTCCATATTTGTCACCCGGGTCACTCCAAGCACTCAAAATGAAGTGTTTTCGTGACTAGAAGTGTATATTCTCAACTAATTAGTAGTACAAAGCATAATTAGATACAAATGTGTATCTTTTCATATTACATAGGAACCTTGCAAGCGCTCAAGCCCCAAACTGACGTTTAGCATCCAAACCGACACATTCCGCGACTGGTGAGTTCATACCCCAACTCTTTTTCCGTGTTTTTCAAATGTTTTCAAGGGGGAATACAAGCAAAAGTACAAGAAAATATTGTACTCAAACTTATTATTTTAGTTCAAATGTTTATATTCTGTATGTTTTTAATATCAAAAACTGTGTTAACCAATAATTCGAATTGTAGAGTTAGCTTTCAGACTAATCATAGATTTCTTGATAAAGTGTTATAATCTATGTTATTTCATAATTTACGAATAATTTATACTAATCATCCGTTAGGATTAATACTAATAAGATACGCCCTCGGATAGTAATAGAACGAATATGAAAGTACAGTTAGAAACAGAGCGAATACGAAAGTACAGTTAGAAACAGAGCGAATACGAAAGTATAGTTAGAAACAAAGCGAATACGAAAGTACAGCTAGGAATAAAACAAATACTAATAAAATACAAATACGAATACGAAAGTACGCCTTGGATACATTCGAGTGTAGGACAACTACGGTATCACAATACCTAACTAATACGACAAGCATGATAGATACTAGGGCATAGCATTCCAAACGAATAACTAACTCACATATAGGAAAATAAGGGTTTTTTCTGGGATAACGAAATGTTTCAAATTAAACTGTAGGATAACCAAATAACTAAACTTTACTTATAAGAAAATATGGGATTTTCTTAGATAACGATTTTTTTAGAAAACCAAAGGAAACCTGTTCTTTTACAGAAACTAAACCACTTATGAACTCACCAGCTTTATGCTGATTCTCAAACTGCTTGTATTCTCAGGTCCACATTAGACAGGTACACCGCGATCTTTTGGAGAAGATGGAGCGTATAGGGGACTCGTCTTTACTTTTGTTCATATGATATATATATATATATATATATATTATATATATATATATATATATATGTATAACTCTTGTAACACTTTACTTTCAAACAAATGTAATAACTATATGAAATGTAATGTTCTGTGTTTACTATGCTTACTATGTACATTGGTTGCGATACTTCATGACGTCACCTCCACCCCCAGACGTTTCCGCCTTCGGTTTCGGGGTGTGACACTTTTCCCCATCTCGGCTAATGAGGGACAGACGAGTTGTGAAAATCACTTGCATTCGAGTCGTAACCTCCTGAAATACCTCTAAAGGTGGATCCACGTGGCATCAATGGTGTGTTTGGTGCCATTGGTGTGTGTGGGGTATATGGTGACCGAAAGATTGCCTCTACATCTGCACCCTCAAAACAATAATCATCAAATCCATCATTACCACATGTTCTCAAAAATGTTTGTGGGGACTAGGAACTATAATCTGTCTGTGGGACCTGAGGCCTATAATCCGTCTGTGGGAGTTGAGGCCTGTAATCCGTCTGTGGGAGTTGGGTCATATGAGCTGTCTCTCGAGCCGGATGGCAAAGAATCCGGCCAAGTCTGGTAGAGGATCAGCCATGCAGATTTTCTGACTAATAGCATCCTGAATGTTGGAGCCTGCGACTCTTGTCGCTATCAGCATATCGATCGGTATGATAGATGCCTTATAATTTGGCTCGTCGATAGAATTAGGAGATCCCGCCCTTATTACTCAAACTACCAGAAAAAGAGTTGTTACTGCAGTCTTTATCCTTGTGTCCATTACCTAACATGCTACATTTAATAGAACAAGAATGGTCAGATATATAAATATAAGATTAATAAGTCATGACAAAAGAAATGTTTAAATGAACAAGATGTCCAAACCAAAATCATTACAAAAACAACATTTAATTTTAAGGTTTTAAAAAAAGAGAATTCTCTTAACATCAACAAATACAATGCTCTTATTATCAATAAAAGACAATGCTCCTAACATCCATCCTCATCATCTTCATCTTCAAATTCTTCTTCTGAATAATAAAACTCGTTTTCATCATCTTCGTCTTCAAAATTTTCCACTTTTTCTTCCTCCCTAATTCTATCATTTTCTTCATTAGATATTTGCTCATACGTATTTGTTGTTGAGGTCAGGCACAGTCGTTTTGCACGAGTTACAGTAACGGGCGACTCAAACTGTTCTTCATCCCGAATATTTCATCTGCTTCCATTTCAGCTTCAGTAACTTCAAATACCCCTCTTATTTTTGTTCTTCATCATACGGATTAACTACGGAAAAGGCTTTTTGTCAGAATTCTATCATAGTAAGGGGCAACTCAAACCATTCTTCATCCTACGGATTAGCTAAGGAAAAGGCTTTCCGTCAGAATTTCGTAGGTAATTACCTACGGATTAGCTACAAACTTTTTTTATTTTCGTATTTTTGGGCACCAAACGTAGTTTTTTCCGCTTCGTTTTTTTCACACATCTAATATACATTACTATTTATATTTTCAACAATTTATAGCTATTAATATCGTTAATAAAGGTGTGTGCACCTTCGTGGTCCATTACTCGTTTCATTACTTAAAGTCCTGTGCATCTTCGGGGTCTATTACTAGTTTCATTTTTTAACATTGTAATTGTTCCATTTTCACTAACAAACTATTTTGTTTCTTTTAAATACATGTAGACACACATACATGAATACATACATATACACATAAAGATAAACATATAAATATACATACACATTTAAATACTCATACGCATATACATATACATTCACACATACATACACATATACATACATACATAAAAAAATACATACATACATACATACATACAAACATACATACAAGCATACATACATACATACATACATACATACGTACATATACGTACATACAAACATACATACATACATGCATACATACATACATACATACATACATACATACATACATACATACATACATACAAGCATACATACATACAAGCATACATACATACAAGCATACATACATACATACATACATACATACATACATACAT